TTTTTCCACCTTTTGGCAAATGGGGAAAGAGGAAAAATCTGATTTCTAGGGTGGTGGTTGATGGTGAAGAATTCAGGGATAAAGGGGAGATTGAGAGCATTTCGGTCTCTTATTATAAGGCTTTGTACTCACCAAGGTGTACACAAAGGCCTATAGTGGAAGGGTTACAGTGGGAGAAACTGCCCTCGGAGGTGGCAGCAAGGCTTGAGGAACCTTTCTCTTTGGAGGAGATTAAGAGAGCTGTTATGGAAATGATTGGTGATATGGCCCCAGGTCTGGATGGTTTCACAATAGCTTTTTACCATGAGTGTTAGGATTTAATTAAGGAGGATCTAAAGAAAGTGTTTGTTGAATTCTATGTGAGAGGAAAAGTGGGAGAAGGAAGGAATGCAACCTTTGTATCGTTGATACCAAAGTGTGTAGGGGCTGCCTCTACAAATGAGTTCGTGGAGGATTTTAGAAAATCAGGGAAAAAAAGTTTTATGTTCAATTGGACCTGGAAAAGGCTTATAATCATGCGGACTGGAATTCCTTACGGTGGGTGATGGGTCAAATGGGTTTTGGTCAGAGATGGATAAGCTGGATGATGGGGTGTTTGGGGACAACTCACTTTTCAATTCTGATCAATGGCTCCCCAAAAGATTTTTTCAAGGCTTTGGGAGGTTTACGACAGGGGGACCCACTTTCTCCAATGTCGTTTACTTTGGTGGCGAGATTTTTAGTAAACTTTTAAAGAGAGTGGATGAAAGGAATATCTTCAGGAGTTTTAGAATTGGGAAGGAAAGCCAAGTTGTGTCTCACCTTCAATTTGCAGATGATACCTTAATTTTAGGCGAGTTTTAGGGGGGGTTCAAGATTGTAAGATTCTAAAAAAGATCTTAGAACTAGTTGAGAGAGTCTCAGGTTTGAAAGTCAATTTGAGGAAATGTGGTCTAGTGGGCCTTAGCCTGGAGAAAGTGGAGCTGGAAGAGTGTGCATAAGTGTTGGGTTGTGAGTTAAAGTAGTGGCCAATTAAAATATCTAGGTCTGCCCTTAGGAGGGAGGTACCCAAGAGAGGAGCCTTTCTAGGAGAGTATTATTGCAAGGTTTGGGAAAAGGTTGGCGTCTTGGAAAAAGAACTACATTTCCAAAGGGGGGGAATCACTCTGGTCAAATCTACTTTGTCTGATCTCCTAGTCTATTTTTTGTCTGTGTTTAGGGTCCCAGGGAAGGTGGTGAGGAGGTTGGAAAAATTCATTAGAGATTTCTTGTGGGATCCAGGAGATAGTAAGAGTAGTTATTTGATGAATTGGGAAAAGGTGAGTAGTTCTAAAGAGCAGGGTGGTTTGGGAATTGGTAGGATTCAAGAACAAAACATGGCATTTGGTGATCAAGAGCATTGATGGGCCCAAATGGTTGGGATTCTGGGCTGGCTAGGGGAGCAACCCTGAGAAGCCGCTGGAGGTCAATCCTGACTTTATTGCCCACTTTCATGCAAAATATAAGGCATGATGTGGTTTCAGGGCAAAGTGTAAGGTTCTGGGAAGATACTTTGGGGGGGGGACTCTCCTTTTTGTCAAACTTTTCCAAGAATTTAAAGGCTGTCCAACTATAAAAATAGTTTAATTGTGGATTTGCTTTCCTTCGGAGAGAATGGTTCAGCATGGGATTTGGGTCTAGGAAGGCCTTTGAGGGATTTTGAAACAAATGAGCTGGTCTCTCTTGTAACCCTTCTTGAAACCTGTGTGTTTTCTTCATTAGGGATTCATGAGAGAATTTGGACCCCTAATACAAATATAGTTGTTTCATGTGTTCCTCCTTTTTTCACTCCTTCCCATTTTGGAAGTTCAACATTTCCTGGTTAAAGAGGTTTGGGGTTGCCCGATTCCCCCTAAAGTAAAGGCTTTTTGTTGGGATGCTGTTAACTGAATCATCAACACCCATGAGAGGCTCCAAAGGAAATGGAAACACTGAATCTCTCTCCTCATGTGTGTGTTCTTTGCTGGAAGAGCGGGAAAATACAAACCATCTACTGTTACATTATCCCTTTTCTTCTAGACTATGCCAGCTTTTCTTTTTGGTATTTGGGAAAACCAGGGTGGCACCAGATGCAGTAATAGACCTTTCGAAGTCAAGTGTTTTTGATGGCTCCACTCAAAGACAATAGGTTGTTTGGTAGTGCATTCACGGGGCGGTGCTATGGGGTGAAAGAAATATGAGGATTTTTGAAGAAAAGTGGAAAACCGAAGAGGAAGTGTTTGAACTTACCAAAATAAGGGTAGCACATTGGGCTGTGATGTGTGGGACGTTTCAAGTGGCTTTATTAATGATCTGCTTCGGGAATGGCAGGTGGTGACAAAGTTTCAGAATACTTGGCAACAAAGGTTGGTAGTTTGGTCCCCTCCTAATCTAGAGGTGCTCAAACTCAATTTTGACGGTTGTAGCCTTGGAAACCCAGGGCCCTCGGGGGTGGGAGGGGTTGTTAGAAATCATGAGGGCAGTATGATTTTAAGTTTATCAGGTCCAGTGGGACAAGAAAATTCCTCTAGAGCTGAACTTTTGGCCTTGGTCCAGGGATTAAAGCTGTTGGTTAGGCAGGATCTGAGGAATGTGGAAGTTGAAGGTGACTGTCAAATGGTTATAGGTTGGATGAAAAAGCAAAACCAAACTCCTTGGAAGTTCAGTTCTTTAGTCAGAACGGCTCAAGCTCTAGTGTGGACTTGAATGCCCCATTCAAGTGGATGCCTAGGAATGCCAATTTTTTGGCTGATTCTCTGGCTAAGGCTGGAGTTGGGAAGTTTAGCTTGGATTGGGGATGCCTAGGACCGGCTACTAATGTGTAATTTGTAATCAGTGCTGTTTCTTCTTTGTTGTATTTCTTTTTCTCTGTTGTGGATGGCCTCTTGGTATGCCCAGCTTTGTACGCTTCTTTGGCTGCAGTTTTGTATGTAGCTTATTTTTAATGACTTTTCTCCCTGTGTGTGTGTATCGGAATCAAAACAGACTCTATTAGCCTCCTACTTAAGCAAAATATCAGAATCAAAATAGACATGGTGGGATATCTGTTTGAAGAGGTTGCAGGCAGCTAGCCAGGAACGAATGGAGGTAACCATTCTTTGGAAGGTTTTTTGTGTTGATTCCCTTTTATCTTAAATAGTCCTTTGATTTTTCTCCTTCCATATGACCCAAGATGTTGCTTATGGGATGGTAGCCCTTTAGGCTCTAGCTTAGGCCTTTGATCTTCCAGCCAGGCAAATGTTCATAGGAAGAAATAAAAACAGTTTCTATTTTTCATATGAAAAATCTCTATTGTAAAAGCAAGTTTTGTTAAGACCATAGTGTATGACAGAAATACCGTCATTCCAGGAACTTGATTTTTATGTAGCCAACTGTTTAGTTCTTAAGGGTTAGTAACTGTTAAGTCCTTAAGTTTGCTGGATTGGGAGCAGGTTATTAAGATACTCCTAGACAGCTTAAAAAAATAATAATAAAGAAGAAAAAGGGGTTTCTAGTTTCTTATTAGTCCAGTCAGTCCTATTGATGGGATGAAACATTTTAGTAAAGAAAGGGGCCTGTAGTCTAGTTTAGTGAACAACGGGCCCCAAGTTAATTGGGCTTGTTTGTAATGCGATAAGCATTTAATGGGCCTGCAGTAGAGCCCATTTAATAGAACAACAGGCCCTAAAGGAATGAATCTAAATTAATTAATTTCTTGTGAGGTGTCCCACTTATTTATAAGGGGATGCCACTTGTCCTATTTTAACAAGAAGGCTATTTTCCTTCCTTTAACCACTTGAAGTGGGGGGACACATGTCACCCTAGGGGAGAGAGTTACTTTCCCTCCTCTAACCACTTTAAGTGAGGGGGGTGATATGTCACCTTAGGGGAGAGAATTATTTTTCCTCCTCTAACCACTTTAAGTGGGGGGACACATGTCATCCTAGGGGGGAGAGTTTTCTTCTCCCTCCTTAACCCACTTTAAGTGAGGGGACACTTGTCACCTTTGGAAGGAAGAATTTTCTTTTCCCTCTTTAACCCATTTTAAGTGGGGTGACACTTGGCACTCTAAGAAGAGAGGAGTGGGGAGTTACTTAACCACCTCCTTCCTCTATAAAAACCCCTCTCCTACAAGGAGAAGGGTCTAATGCCATTTTGCTGGCTAATTCTATTTAGTTGATAGAATTTACATCAACAAGAGACAAACCAAAGGAGAAAGAAGAGAAGGTTGTGGTGTGGAAGAAAAGGGAGAAGAAGAGAAAGAAGAAGGTAGTGATTGTAGTATTCCTCCTCAACCTCTTCATTATGATTCTCCTACAACTTTCTCTATTAGACTTGTGTCTTTCCTTACTCATTTCACATTTCTTTGTTTGTTGTTATTATTATTATTACTTTTTCTTCTCCTTGTCTCATTTTAATTATATCTGAGGGAGATAGCCATCTACAACCTTGTTCATGAAACTTGGTTGATTATGGTTCCTCGCAACCTATTAACCTATGTGTGAGGGGGAAAACCGTCTACAACCTTGTTCATGAAACTTGGTTGATTATGGTTCCTCACACCATGATAATGCACATAACCACAATTTAAAGGCCATTTTTAGCCTTATTGATGAAATATGGCATTTATGACACCTATTTACTTGTTATGTATAAAAAGTTTGTTTATTTGTTTGCTGGTTTTCTCTCAAACAAAGAGGGAATATATACTAGAAAATTCTGTAGAAAAATGATACTTAGTTTAGTCTATTCATTTGAACTTCTGAATCAGAATCAAATGGTTTTTTCTGCCCCTAGTAGAGATGTAATTAAGGGAATATCTACGTGATTTCCTGAATGGGGCTTACCCAAATAACAAAAAAACCCAGTTATTAGTCTAGTTGGGTGAATTATGTTATGTGAGAAATTATACTAAAAAAATTTTCCACTAACAGTAACCAACTACCCCCTTCCTCTGAATGAGTTTGGCTAGTTACTACTCCTTTCGTGCACAAACTAACTTCTCTTTTGGTGCATGTATCCAGGTTATGTTTTACACATTAGCAGTGGTGACATTTGGTACTGCTGTTCCAGCTGGTCAATTTATTCCAGGAATAATGATAGGATCAACATATGGACGACTTGTTGGCATGTTCGTGGTCAACTTCTACAAGAAACTCAACATTGAAGAAGGAACGTAAGTCTCTCTCTCTCTCTCTCCACACACACACAAAATGTGCTTATGCACAAAGCTGGATCGCAAAATGGAGATTTAGGTACCCTAACTGCTTGGAACTGATTTGTCATGGAATATTGTTATGAATCACATATTGATGGATTATAAGTTTCCTACGGTAATCTTCAAAGGCTACCACCACTTATGGTATTCTAATTTCTAAGATCTGTCAAATTTGATATCTGGGAAGAAAAATGTCTATTGTGTTTTACCAATATTTTTTTTCGTGTACCCAGTTTCAACTGTGTTGATATTTTAATTTTTTAGTCATATAAGCAAAACCATTGCTTGGTATAGTGGTAAAATTTCTAGTTGACAAGTGCGAGAGCACAGTTTCGAGTTTGAGAGCATCCACTGTGTCAAAAAAGCCAAGGGTTAGGTTTGTATCCACTCTACCCCTTCCAAGACCCCAGATAGCTAGGACAAACATTGGTACTGGCCTTTAAAGATACAAACATGATTTGCATTTTTTCTGACCTTAATTTTGAGTCTAGAACTTTATTTCGAGTATAGTTCTATTTACTGCATGAAAGACAACATAGCTTCCTCTACTTGATGCAGAAATGCAAAAACAGATTTTGAAACCTATCTAGTTATTTGATATTTAAGTAGAACAAATACAAAGCAGTGATAAGGTAATTTTAGTCTAAAGAGGCTCTTTTGGACTATAAACTAGGGTCTGAGGTAAAATCTTTTATACTAAGAAAGTTATTGACAATAATGATTACAGGACCAAGAAGACTATTCATACTGAAGACTTAACCTGCTAGCAATGTCATCCATTAAGAAATCTAATCTCGTCCTCACACTAGAGCTTACATAAGAATATTTAGAAAAAAACTCAGTTCTAACTTCTAAGTAGTGTGTTTATGACCACTTCTGAATAGTGTCTGGATTAAAGACAAGAAAGTAAACGCAGAAGACAGAATGCAATGTTATAGCATTACCCCCACCCCCACCAAAATAAAAGAGCTTACATAAGAATATTTAGAAAAAAACTCAGTTCTAACTTCTAAGTAGTGTGTTTATGACCACTTCTGAATAGTGGCTGGATTAAAGACAAGAAAGTAAACGCAGAAGACAAAATGCAATGTTATAGCATTACCCCCTCCACCCCCACCAAAAAAAAAAAAAACCTACTGCTGCAGCATGCTATGGGAGGCACTGTTCACCATTCGTGGTGGTTAAACAGTCAAGTCTATTCTTTTCCTTGATGAATTTTCATTTGCTTTGGTCATTTACTTTTGTAAAAATATGACAATAATTGTCCATCTAAATTTATGAGTCATCTAATGGAGGTAGAGAATGTTCTCAGTCTAACCTCTGATTATTTATCTTCCTGTTTAGCTTGTTTAGACGTTTTTGCCAATTCTGCTTCTTTGTGGTTTACAGTTGTTAATGTTGACTATGCAGGGGTATTTTTGTCTTTATGCTTATGTTTAAGTTGCTGATGTGCAAAGTTATGTTAGATCTTATGTCCCTGTAGGGGCAAAGGTGTCATTTCCAGATTAATAGAAATATAAAAACAAATCTGGCCGAATGGGAGAGACTGATTTTTCTCTCTTGTTCGAACCAGAACTTTCTCTCCTTCTATTCTCTTCTCTTCTTCTTCTCTCTCTTTTCCTCTTTCTTTTATTTCTGTTGTTATCACTCTAACAGAATTCAAGGGCAGACCGAATTCTAAACAGTCTCCAAGTTTCAGGATATCTTACAAGAACCCACTATATTCTTTGGGTCTTTGATGCTTGAATTATGTCTACTTTCATTTTACCCATATGTTTGTACCTGCACCAATGTGGAACTAGACATGATTTTTGGTGGTGTTGATGTAATAAATAATATTTGCATTGTACACCATCTTGCTTCAAGGTGTTTTTTTCCTCAACCCATGGTGGAAATCTGTCATGATTTTTGGTGTTGTTGATTCTAATAAATAAGATTTGCATTGCACACCATCTTGCTTCAAAGTGTTTTTTCCTGAACCCATGATGGAAATTGCAGGTATGCTCTACTTGGTGCTGCTTCTTTCCTTGGAGGTTCAATGCGGATGACAGTATCCCTTTGTGTGATTATGGTTGAAATTACCAATAATTTGAAACTCCTACCTCTCATAATGCTTGTTCTTCTTGTATCAAAGGTATGTGTTAACTCTTTTAATTCTATTATTAACATCTAGACAACGAACCAACCTTGCTAAGCCTTTCTTTTGCAGGCTGTTGGCGATGCTTTCAATGAAGGTTTGTATGAAGTGCAAGCTCGGTTAAGGGGAGTTCCATTACTTGAGTCAAGACCTAAATATTATATGCGAAAAATGACAGCAAAGGAAGCCTGCAGGAATCAAAAGGTCAGCTACTTAGAGTGCTTTTCAATTTCTTCTTTGTGCTAATATCCCTGCATCAAGATTTCAACTTAAAGGTTAAAGGCTTGACTTGTGTCAATGGAAGGTTGTCAGCTTCCCACGTGTTGTTAAAGTTGCAGATATAGTTTCTATTTTGCAGAGCAGCAAGCACAATGGGTTCCCTGTGGGTGATTCTGCTTTTTCTTTGTCTTCTCATTTAATATTCTTTGGATCCTTTATAATTATTTTAATGTCTCCTTGGCGTGTAGGTAGTGGATCACACAAAGAATGGAGAGGCACTTGTCATTGGACTCATACTTCGTAGGTATAACTTGCTTAACCTTGTTTGCATGCTTTTTATGATTTTGTTTTTGTTAAAAGCAGTAATCTGCTTCAACTATCTTCTGGTGTTTGGGAATTTTAGTTGGGAAATAAATGTACTGAGTGACTGGTTCTTGCTGCAGCCACTTGTTGGTGCTTCTGCAGTCTAAAGTTGATTTCCAGCATAGCCCTTTGCCCCATGATCCAAAAGGTGGATCCGTACCAATCATGTAGGTGGACGCTTAATATTAATCTTAGATCTTCCCTTCATACTCATTTTCCAAAATGAACAGAAGTGGCTAAATGCTCCAGACACAATTTCAGTGACTTCGCAAAGCCTGTCTCCAGTAAAGGGATATCCTTAGATAAGATTCATCTAAGTCAAGATGATCTGGAGATGTACATAGACCTTGCTCCTTTTCTAAATCCCTCTCCATATGTTGTCCCTGAGGATATGTCTCTGGCAAAGGTAAGCATCATTTTGTATTCAGAGGTTTGCACTTTATTTGCATATTGTTGCATGCACTGCTATACATCAATGAAACATTGTTTATAACAGTGTGTATCATACTGGTATTGCAGGTGTATAATCTTTTTCGTCAATTAGGATTAAGGCACATATTTGTTGTCCCTCGTGCTTCTCGTGTTATTGGTTTGATTACTAGGAAAGATTTGTTGGTCGAGGTACCTAGCTGGATTCCTTAAATGTCTTTCCTCTTGATTTATATACATGGTTATTGACAATTGCTGCTTGGGATGCAGGAAAATGAGGATCTTGCTACAGTGGAGCTTCAATCAACTAGTGTAAGGTCTTGATGCAGCTATACCCATATTATGTCTCTTCACCGTATTCTTATAGTTATACCATGGTATTTTAAAAATTTGAATTTGTGGTGTAAATTTCTATATTCGGACAGTTATATACCCCCACCCTTCCAACTGAGCTTGTGGTTCATAGATAGGGGTGGGGTGTGAGTATGGATTATAGAAGAAAAAGCATTTCAGTTGGACCCCAATGAAACACTGAAACATGAGTGACAGTAGAAAGGAAGGGTCCATTTTGGTCACATCGTCAGACTATCAAGTGTAATTTGGGGGGTGGGGGTGGGATGGGGAGATAGGTGGATTTATGATTGATAAGGTGGAGGCTGAAGATGCATCTAGAAAGAAGAAACAATGAACCCAGTGAAACACTGCTGAAACATGAGTGGTGGCATCTGTGCCGGACTGTGGATGAACCCATTTTAGCAATCCGTTCAATCCCAGTAGGTTCCATAATGCATTAAGAAAAATGAGTTGCAAAAGCAACAATGATAACCTAGACATGGAGCCATGATTCAACTCAAGCATTAATTGGGTAGGTATTCACATATGTTTCAATGCATTTGTATTCTAGGTGCCATGAAAACTAATATTTGACAGATCCTTAGAGCAATACAATCATCAATTCCCTATACGAAATTGTTGAGATTTCAAGTTACAAGTTTTGTTGAGCAAGAAAAAATGATGGATTAAAGAAAAAAATGATTGCTAAACCTGGGATTTTGTGCAGATACATGTGGTTTATGGCTGTTCTATTTTGTCTTTCTATGATTAGGGGCACTGAACACTTTACCTCTCTATGGGGCAGTAGCAATAGAACTGCTCAAGTTTGTTGTGTTCTCCTCATTTAGAAATGGTATTGAAGGAAAATTTGTCTGATCTGTTATTTGCAGTACTAGGATGACTGCTCACCATTATCTACTCTTGAAATATGAGTACCTTGTGTGGCTAAGTTTTTTCACCTAGTGAAGGAAGATTTATAATTTTTCTTTATCAAGAAGAAAATGAGTATAAATGCCCTTTAGAAGAAAAACGTTACTTGCTTTTCCATTGTTGAAGTTTGTTGAGCATAGCTACATCAAGTTCTCTTCATCATAGAAGGTTTTAGAAACTGTAAATAATGCTAAAGTACTGGATAGGATAATGTAGAAGGGATAATAGTTGAGCTAGTTTAACATGCATCTCAACTCAAACCCAAAAAAGCGCTATTCCAATTATTTGAGGTTGGCTATACAAAACCTATTTAGGATGTTTTATGTAAATGAGTAAATCCCATCAAGAGGCATGCCTCCTGGCAAAATTTCAAGTCTTAAGTTAATTGCTCACCACCTCAACACATGTCCACTTTGGCCTTCCTCTTGCTCTTCTGGAGTCTTCTATTTGTACCAAATCACTTCTCATTGGTGCACTTATCAGTCATCTTTGCACCTGGTCAAACATTCTTGATTGAATTCATCTCTCTTTTCTCTTGACCAATTGGGGCTTCTCTTAAGTCTTTCAGGAGCATTCATTTCTAACCCTTAATCTTTTAAGTCTTTCAGGTGCATTCATTTTTTGGATTTGTTGTTACATTTCCAGAAAATGAGTATGGCTATTTTTTTTTTTTGTTTTTTTGATAGTTAAAAATTTCATTAATTTGGAACTTGAATCTGATACAAAGTGAGCATAGCTAATTTTTTTTTGACAGGTAGAAAGTGAGCATAATGTCACGGGGTGACACAATGGGGTGCTGGGCTAGAGGTTTTCTAGATGTTTCTTGAGGCTTTTAGCCAATTCTGCATGTTTCTGGGGTGTTCTAGAGTGTTCTGGGGTGTTCTCCATGTGTCTCGAAGGGTCTAGATGTTGGTGGAACTCTCTAGAATCTTGTGGAACAATCTAGGTTTGTGTGGAACAACCTAGAGGGGTTGGGAGCAATCTAGACGTCCTCTAGAGTATTCTTGTATCTTATGGAGAAGGCATCCCCTAGAAGAGTGTAGAAGGTAGAATGTTCTAGAGGTGCTTTTAGATGATGCCAAGTGTACATAGTTCTAGAGGATTCCTGGAGGGGGTTAGTGTATAAATAGGGGTCCCCTCCTTCATTTGCAACAAGCATCCAAGTTGTAAGAGCATTCWTTGAGTTGTAAGCTTTCTTCTAATGCAATACAATATCTTCCTCTTACAATATTTGGTGTGCTCTTGTGTTCCTTGGTGTGTGTCCTTAGCACTTAAGCAACCTAGCAAGAAGGGTCTTGGTTATACAGTTTGGCTGACTTACTTGGAGGGCCAAGTGAGTGCCACACAACTTAGCCAACAGGAGCAGTTGGGTTATGACAGTAAGCTAAGATGAAGATAGTAGATGGTCATATTGCTTATCTTAAGATTGCTTGTCCAAAACCTGGATAAAAGAGGGTTTTTTGGGCTGGGCTTCAGCCAAACCAGTATTAGCATGGATCCCATAGTTCTGAAATAGGGTTTGTCTGCGGGTAAATAATAGGGTTATCTTGAGACATTGTCTAAATAAAATATGGGGAATATCCTGTTTGCATGTATTTTGTTGCACAATCATATGGGCTGCATGGTCACTGATCAGTTTCCAGCAAGAAAAAAGCCTTGCATTTAGGGCTGTTAATGGACTGGATATTGGTCCAGCCTGATTTGGTCCAATAGGAGTCCATTACTGATGGACCAAGTTTTAATTCAGATTGGGTCCACTCCAAACCCAGTTCTTTGACACTCCTGCTCTTTTCTTCTATCAGTGGACTGGATACTGGTTCAACCCAACCTAGTCCAACATAAATCCATTAGAGATGGTCCAGGTCCAATCCAATCTAATAAATACTTAGGACCATTAAGTCTGGATTGGTCCAATTCAATGTCTTATTGGACCATCCAACCTGCTCAGATTGATTTTTGATTTGGATGGGGTCCAACCCAAATCCGGTCCATTGATACCCTTATTTGCATTTTGAGTGGCTCTTAGTAGGGGTATGAGCATTTGGTTTATTTGGTTAAAAACCAAACTGAATAAACCAAAATTTTAAAAACCGAATTAGAAAAATGAAAACTGAACCGAAACCAAATTAGAGGAAAGCCAAAATAAATGAAACCAAAATTTTCGGTTCGGTTTTCGGTTAAAACTGAATTTAAAAAATATATATACTATATACTATATTATATATAATTATATATATCATAACATAATATATAAATATATTACATATTAAATATAATATGTTATGTATTATATATTACATGCTATATAGCAAAGTTTTGTTAATTCGGAATTTTTGGTTAACCGAATTTCTAATTCTAAAACCGAAACCGAAATATTTAAAAACCAAAAAACCGAACTGAATTAACCAAAAACTGAAATAACTGAAACCGAAATTTTTGGTTCATTTTTTCGGTTTTAACCGGATAATGCTCACCCCATCTCTTAGTATTTTATCCAGTATAAATAGTTTTTTCTTTGTTTGGTAAAATATTAACTATAAAATTATGTAAACTAGTTATATAATTTGACCAGGGTTCACAAATCATGGAAACAGCCTCGTTGTTACGTGCAGGGGTAAGGCTGCGTACATCTGTCCCTCCCCAGACCCCGCATTGGCAGGAGTCTCGTGCACTGGGCCTGCCCTTTTAGTTACATATGCTACGTGTTTAATTTAACTCTGCTATTATTCTTGTTTGTTGCCCTCGTACACAGCCCTTGCCACCTAGGACTGTAAACTCTCATATGCAGCTTTTTTTTTAATCTTTTGATATTTTTCTCACACAAATCATTTTCTTTATTTAAAACCTTGTAAATTCTGGTTCATGAATAGAAAAAAGAACAGAACTGAACCAGTCAGCTAACATGATTTCTGATTCTCTCTATTTTTCTGGGCAGTTCTCGTAGGCATGATAAAAGAGCAGTTGGAAGAAGTACAGAAGCAGAGCACCCACTTCTTGATGGTCTTCTTGTTGAAAATCCATTATAATAGTAGATATGGCTCTGTTTCCCAAGGATGAATTCTTTCAATTTCTTCCTCTGTATTAACCTTCCTAGGCTTAGTGGTCATAGCATGCACTTGATGTGATTCCTAACATGGACGAGTTCATAAATTAGAGCCACCTAACATGGACGAGTCCATTTATGAAACAGAAAAAAGGTATAGTCAGATAGATCATAGAAAACCAGGCAGAAAGCTGTTCGAAAGGTTGGTATATATATGACGTTTGTGGTCTTGAAATTGTATCCAAACTGGCAGAAATTTCTCACTATTTCCAATTAGAAAATTTAATTTCTTGAAACTATGTTACATTCCTATAGATAGCCAGTTAATGATACGTACATTGACAGCTTATGGACTACAGAATTTGGTTGTCTTACGGTAGTATAGTCCATGCATTCTACATTTCTACAGTTGTGCTTATCAATTATGGGGTCCATGGTGTTGAAATCCACCAAGAATGCTAGATTTTCTGGTAGTTAAGATCCATCAAATAAGTGGGGTGATGCATAAAAAATCAGGTATGATTAGATATCTCTAAATCATCTGATTCAAGCAAGGTTTTAACAAGGCTTAAGGCATAGGTGAGGCGCAAGGTGTAAGCCTCAAAATATATATTCTTTTTTTATGTGAATTATATGTATCTGAATTTTTATTTCGGTAATATATTTATAATCTTTTCTATCTAAATTAAATAATCTATCTATATAAATATATATTTAATTTTATTTGTAATTTGTATGCATTTAGGGATGTAAATTACAACAACCTGAATTTGTTTATAATTTTTCCGGTAAATTAGGGGGTTGTGACACTTTAGCCTCTCCAAACTCTGTTTTGCGACAAAGACCCCTTGTACTTCTAGATTGCAGTAATTTGCCCCTGCTGTTACCATCCCATCAATTGAATATATGGAAATTTCCATGTGTCAGTCGTGTAAAGTTGTACATTTTTAAAACCCTAAACTAACCTGATGTGTGGTTTTTAATCAATTTCTTGTTTTGCTATTTTTTACAATGATTACAATTTTTTATAATTTTTCTTGTACAAGTTGTAGATGATAATGGCGAATTTAAAAGTTTGCTTATTGTTATTGTCAAGTGTCAGCCCAAGACTCTTGAATGGGCAATTTGGTAAGTTTAATTTTGTCATTAATGCCTTTAACTGAGGGGGTTTCGTTTTTGGGATTTTGAGAGTGGGGAAAGTTGGGATTGTGAATCCCATTGACCAAGAAATTTATATTCTTTTTTTTTCAGATTTATATGGGGACCATGGGGAAAGTTTATTTTCCTGGGTATTATTGGATAGGATCAAGAAACCCATCTCTTAGGTGGGTGAATTAACTTTCCCATATGGGGGAAGGTTTTCAACACTTGAATGCGATAAAAGTGCCCCTTTTGATGATAAATTGGCTAAAATGGTGATTATTTTATTTACTTTGGTAAATAAAAGAACATGGGCAAATGCGCTTACCCAAATAAGTGCTTCCCAAGAAACACTTACCTGGGTATGTGCATTTACTTGGGAAAGTAACTTACCAAAAAGAGAATGGGGCCTGAGTGTCTGTTTGGGAGGGTTGAAGTGTAGCGGCTTCTAATTTTCCAAGGTGGCCTCAGACAGCTATAAGCTATGTTTTTGGCGAAATATTTAGAGAGCCAAAATCGGCTATCTATCAATCATTTGAAGGGTTGTCTACTTGAGCCTTTTTGCATAGTTTATCTTGAGCTAGAGCAATTAAAAGCAGTTGAATGTTCAACCCAGTCCTCCCAAACTAGCCCTAATTGGGGTCAAATAAGGGTGGCCACAAGTCGAGCTTTTCATGAATTGTTCGAGCTCGGCTCAGCTTAAACCAAGCTTCAAATTGAATTCAAGCCTAGTATATAGGTTTGTTTGTTAATCGAGCCAAACTTGAGTATAATAAAGCTTGGCTCTTGAGGTTCACGAGCCTAACATGCATATATATATATGTAATTTTTATATATAATAATAATTAATTTTTTGTAATCCTAAATTTTTTATATGTATATTTTTTTAATTTTATAAGACATTTAATTCACAGTTGAGAGCCGAGTTGAGCTCAAACTTTTGAGCTTTTGACTTGAGTCGAATTTGAGTTGAAGTCTCTAGTTCGAATCAAGATCGAGTTCGAACTTGATAGTTTATTAGTGAGACAAGTTTGAATAGTCATATATTTGGCTCGGCTCGAAACCACCCCTAGGGTCAAATAAGTGCATGGCCATGTTTTGTTCAGGAGGTCTAAGTGATACAACTCCTTAAGTAAATCGTAGGTGCTTGTATTTCTTTGTCAACTTACATATTTACTTTTTAATACATTTATATTCTTCTTAATTTTTAAAATTTATTTCATTTATAATGTTTTACAAACACACACAATATATATATACACATACATCTTTCAATAAATTAATTTATACAATTTTTAAATGAATATTGTTCATGATATACAATTGCTTTATTGGAACTAAATGGCTTGCAACTAATTTAAAGTGGATAAAAATACTTTCACAATTTTGTTATATTGACATTTCTATATTATTTCTTTTTACTAAGGGAAATCATAATCCTTGTTTTTATTTTGTAAATTGGTGGGTACTACTGTCACAGATGTCAAAATAGTGAGTGAGCTCTAGAACTTCATCCTTGATGGGTTTTATCAAATACGTGTGGAATACCTTTCTATCATGGAAAATGTCAGATAAAAAAAAGTATAATTTTTATCTAACAAAAAGTATATATATAATTTGAAGTCAACCTAAATAGGGGCACGCGGCACCATTAACAATTTTAGCAAAACTCTGTTATGCAGATTAACAAGTTAAATTTGAGGTGTGACGTGGTAAAGCACTCTGCCATATCTAACTTGAGGTGCTAGGCCTTTGCCACATTAACAAGGTGCTTGATACGAGGCATTTTGCCTCCCTTTTGCATTCGTGTAGAACTCAAGTGCAAAGGCTATTAAAAAAGTTTCTAAATATCGATAAATCCAACACGTCGGTAGAGGTATATCGGATAGTAGAATTATTGTTTTTTTTTTTTATTTTTATTTTTTTTTTCAAATCTTCCTCCACCCCTGGACTGGTCAAAACCCCGATACACCCTCTGTAGGAGTGTATCGAGGTGTTCCCGATACAATACGTATCAGCCGATACACGCTGATACATAACGATTTTTTGAACCGTTACATTCATGTAGATTTCACTCTTTCTAAATAAATTAGGTTAATTATAATTCAAACCTAATCCCATGTGTTAAATTAAATATAAAATCCAACCTAAATGCTTTGAATAGAGCAATGTTTTCAAGTCATTGTTGATTCGGTAGGTCGAACTGTTTGAACTGTCATCCGGCCAAGATTTCAGGTTCGGTTCAGTCAAGACCCGCTAGACAGTCAAAACCATTGACTTGGTCAAGAACCATTCGATTTGGTGACCTAGTCGGATTGTACACTCAATACATGCAAACTTTCGGAGGCCATAACTTGCACTCCGATATTCGATTGGGGTGATTTTTTTTTATTTTGGATAATTTTTCGAGATTTATGTGTCCCAAGGAGTTGTAGGCTCCTTGCCCTACTATTTTTGTGAAAAAAACCCTTTTTTGACCTCAATTTGCAAATTTTAATATTTTTTGTAAATAAAAAATTTAAAATCATAAATTATATATAAAATAATACATATAACATATCTAAAACATATTTATACACACACACATATATATGTGTGTGTGTGTGTGATGACATGGCATATATATATATGTGTGTGTCTGAATCGGTTGACCCAGCTGGTCGAATCAGTGACCCACAACCCCAAGGCAAAAATGATTCGGCCTACAAGTCAATTTTTAAAACATTGAAATAGAATAACTACTAATCAGCAGTCATGGTCCTCATGGAGGCACAGATGGATACCAATCAACTTATTATGGTTGAGTTGTACTCAAGTACGAGGTCATTTACTCCGGATCCAGTGCGTTTGGACTTGAAGGGATTTTCTCTTCGAGTCCCTTAAAGTTTTGACATGTCATTCAGTGTTCTACTAACCATTACTTACAACCGGCTGAAACTTTATGAGTGAAAAAAATAATTTTAAATAAAAAAATTGATAACTTTTTAAAGCTAATATTGACAGAAATTTCCAAAGCCCTCATGTTCTTAGACTTTAACCTTTCTCCCCCAACCGCTTAACAACAACAAGCCTTCGTCAATAGTGTTCAGACCACAATAGAACGGTGACTGTGATTTTAGCGGCAACGACAACGGTATTAACAAAAATTTCAAACACCAAGGGTATTCAAAGGAAAGCTGATATCTATGTCTAGGGTTTTTCATCCTTCCTTCTTGAATGCCGATGATAGAATCGTTTTTTATTTTCTTTTTAATTCCAACAAATAGTAATGTTGTATGAATGTTTGGAAGTCTTTTCCTTTGTATCTATGGAATACTAGTGAAGGAGGTTTCGAGCTTGGCTACCTTTGATTTTAGGTCTCTCAAGCAGTCGAGGTTTCGAGCCAAGGTCTCCCTCAATTGTCGAGGTGTTAAACCGAGGTCTCCCTCAGCTGCTGAAGTGTCAAGCTGAGGTTTCCCTAGCAGGCGAGGTGTTGAGCTAAGGTCTCCCTTAGTTAATAAGGTGTCGTTCAGGTCTCCCTCAATTGTCGAGGTGCTGAGTCGAGATCTCCCTTAGTGACCGAGATGCTGAGCCAAGATCACCCTCAGCGGTCGAGGTGTCGTCTAGCTTGAAGTTTGAGCTCGGCTCAACTCGAACTTGACTACCTTTGATTGTAGGTCCCCTAGCAACCGAGATGCCGAGCTAAGGTTTCCCTTAGTTGGAGAGAGAAAGTGGCATTTTTGTAATTTAAAAGGAGAGAGAAATTGCATTCTTGTAATTTGTAAGAAGAGAGAGAGAGAGAGAGAGTTGGTAGGAGAGAGTGGCATTCTTATAATTTGAAAGAAAAAAAAAAACAAAAGAGAATTAGTAGAGAGTGGCATTCTTATAGTTTCTAAGAAAAAAAACAAAAAATTCTATTAGATTCCATTTCCCTCATCCTTAGCAAGTCCTTCTTATGTACACATTTCACCTTAATATATTTATATAGATATAAATAGATTTCTTTTTTGGTTTTTTGTGCTATTTTACATTTGTTGTTTGAGTTAGCCTGTATTCATTGTTCATAAAACTTCAACCATTAATGGGAAGATAAAGTCTTCTTGCGGTTGTGGCTTAAGATCTGCAAGACAAACCCAAGACACAAGGTTGTCTTCTTCTTCTTTCATGCAAATCTTCTACTTCATACGAACAAAAAATCTAAAGCCCTCACGTTCTCTTCTCTGTTCTCAGACTCAGA